TCTCGAGTTCCAGGCTTCAGTGAACTATATGATTGTACTACTGCACTCCAGGGTGGGTAACAGAATGAGACCATGTCTCTAAAAAAAAAAAAAAAAAAAAAAAACTGTTTGACAATTACAAAGGCCAGTTTCCTGGTGGAACTCAGGAAAACAGTGGAACAAGAGGGAAAAACTTTTAGGATTCCTTCCCATGTCTACAGAGGATCAGTCCCGCTCCTCACCTGGGCTCCCCGGGCATGGCCCCTCCACCTCTCCAGCTTTAGCTTCTGCTGCCATTCTTCTTCCCCTTGACCCTTAGGCCAAGAATGCTTACATTCTCCCACTAGTCCAAGTCTTTCACATAGCTGCACCTTTGCTCACAATATCCTCTCCCCTTCCTGGCTATTTCCTTCTTTTTCTTTAAAACCTAGGTATTACTTCTCTGGGAGGCCCTCCCTGTCCTCTGTGTCTCCCATCCTAACATATCACACTGTCAGTTCAGCTGTTTAGACTGCCGGATGCTGGGCCAGCATTATCATTGGATTCTGCAACTTGAATGGTGGCTAACTGAGCTATAAAGTCCTGACAGAAATCAGAGAGAGACTTTTTTTTTGCTATATTCCATAATTTAAAATGGACTCTGGCCAAGTGTGCTGGCTCATGCCTGTAATCCTAGCACTTTGAGAGGCTGAGGCTGGAGGATCACTTGAGCCCAGGAGTTCGAGGCCCTGGCAACACAGTGAGACCCCCATCACTACAAAAAAAGAAAAGAAAAGAAAAGAAAAGAAAAGAAAGGAAGGAAGGAAGGAAGAAAGGAAGAAAGAAAGAAAAGAAATAAAAGAAAGAAAGAAAGAAAAAAAGATAGCTGGCTGTGTTGGTGCACACCTGCAGTCCCAGCTACTCTGGAGGCTGAGGTGGAAGGATCACTTGAGACCGGGAGGTTGAGGCTGCAGTGAGCCATGGTTGCCCCATTGCACTCCAGCCTGAACAGAGTGAAACCCTGTCACAAAACAAAACAAAACAAAACAGGCCTCTAAGAGAAGGCCTGAGAGAAAAGACTTCTAATAGGTTCAGGACACATTCTTTGGTAGAAGTGGCAAATTAGAAAGCTTAGGGAAAAGATGAAATTATTTTCTGTGATGGACTTGCGCTTTCAGTTGAGATAGGAATGGGATGGAGTGCCAGAAAGGCAGATATTTTGACCAGGCGTAGTGACTCACGCCTGTAATCCCAGCACTTTGGGAGGCCGAGGCGGGTGGATCACCAGATTAGGAGATCAAGACCATCCTGGCTAACACGGTGAAGCCCTACCTCTACTAAAAATACAAAAAATTAGCTGGGTGTGGTGGCAGGTACCTGTAGTCCCAGCTACTTGGGAGGCTGAGGCAGGAGAATTGGCGTGAACCCAGAAGGAGGAGCTTGCAGTGAGCTGAGATTGTACCACTGCACTCCAGCCTGGACAACAGAGTAAGACTCCGTCTCAAAAAAAAGAAAGAAAGAAAGAAAAAGAAAGGCAGAGATTCAATGGTTGTATAGAGTATGGCAGGCTGTGGTTCATTTAAAGACTTCAGAAGAAGTGAAATATTCCTTTGAGGTACACAATTAAAACTAACAGCAAGGCAGCTTCTTCTGAGATGTATTCATTCCACAAGCTGAGAGTGGGGAGAAAAAATACCCACTCTTCAATGGGGTATTTTCAAGCAGATGAGATCTGATGCTCCTCTCTGGACAGAAGGAGAGACCACCCCTAGGTGCTCCCCTGCCCTGTGACACTCAGACTACTTTGGTGCCAGCCTATGGCAGTGCGGCCCAAACACTGTGAAGTCTTTGAGAATCTCCAGTTTGAGTACAACCTCACTGACTTTTTTCATTAAGAACATAAGCTTGATTTTCATAAACATCTTTTCCAGGAGCACCAAGCTAGCCCTCTTTCAACACCAGCAAAATGGAGAAAAGGAAAATCTAAATCGTATCCAACCCAGGTTTTCCAGATTTTCTCAGTTAATTCCCATTTTTATGGTCACTCTGCTCACTGAAAGGCAGAAAAAGGGCTTAAAAGCCTCTTTCAGAGAAGGCAATACCATTTTAGTCCTCCACATCCTTCATGGTTTTCTCTACTGGCTTAGCTGTGCTCAAAACAAGGACTTATTTTTCCTTCATTTAGATATTCAGAATCTAGGACATCATAAGGTTGAGGATGTTTTAGAAAACAGATAATCTTCTGGCATGAGAAATATCCTTAATTAGCTACTTTTCCTCAAAACTGGAGGGGGATGAGTATTGACATTTGGGTAGCTTATGCAATTCAAGAGCTTCTGTCTTCTGTCTTCAAGTATTGCCTTATGTTAGAAATAAGTTTCCAGAAAATAAATGTCAAAGACCAGACATTCATGCTAAAGGCTAGATGCTTCCAATCCAAACTTATGAACTCCTCCTACCTTTCCTAAAAGGGACTGTTACATGAGGTGCAAATAAGAATGATTAATTCATTTTCTGCCCAGATATAAGAATCAATTCATAACACTTTCCTGTTTGGCTGAGCTACTGGGAAGAATAAACAAAAGCAGGATGGAACTACACAAAGTTCCACTGTGCTTTTGTGCCTTCTCTGCTGCACTGTTATATGGGAGTTCCAAGGCAGCAGGGTCACACGGGATGCTATACATCAGTGGTCTTCAATCTTTTTGGCACCAGGGACTGGTTTCGTGGAACACAATTTTTCCATGGACCAGGGCGGGGATGGGGAGATGGGGGATGGTTTCAGGGTGAAACTGTTCCACCTCAGATCTTCAGGCAGTACTTAAGATTCTCACAAGGAGCGTGCAACCTAGATCCCTCATATGCGCAGTTCACAACAGGGTTCACACTCCTGTGAGGATCTAATGCTGCCACTGATCTGACAGGAGGCGGAGCGCAGGCGGTAATGCTCGCTCACCTGCCGCTCACCTCCTGCTGCGTGGCCCTGTTCCTAACAGGCCACGGACAAGTACAGGTCTGCAGCCTGGGGATTAGGGACCCCTGCTATACATGACTGTATGGTGCAAAGCACTTCTGTGGCATGTGGTTTAAGCTCAGTGTCATTTGATGGCCAGAGACCCACTTGAAGATCCCCATTTTCAGCAGACCTTGTAGGATGCTAACATTTGGGGCCAGATTCTCCTTAGTGAAATGAATGCTATGTAGCTAAGGCTGTGGTGCCCAGCCTGGCTAGACATTTGCAAAAAGAGAGCAGAGACTGGCAGACAGTGCCAATTCTCAACAGAATCTTATGATCAAAATGCCAAGTTGCTATAAGGGTATCAGTAACATCCTCACCCTTTAGCAGGCAAAGGAGGCTGGGGATGTGAGAAAACAAACTCTGATCCACCTGATCCTCTACCGCTTTTTGATTCCGAGAAAAAAAAAATTGTTCAGTAACTCCAGCTGCCTGAACAGAAATTACTTCCTGAGGAGCTAGAAGCCCTGACTGGAAAAGAGCTCTGGGGGATTATGGCATGGGAGGAGAGCTGTCAGGCATCAGGCTTATATGGGAAGGACCCACGCTGACTACAACAGTACAAGTAACTGCTTGAGGGGCTCCATAACATGGAAATGGCAGTCGTATGTTCCAAAGACAGAGTTACTGTTTTAAGGACAGAGGAATCTTTGTATAGATTCTCAGTGAAAAGTTTATTTTAAGGATGTTTGCTGAAATTCCATGTTTTTCACATTTGTTTTCAAAAGAGCAGTGTCCTTCATATATAGTACACGAAAAATTACAATATTCATGTTTTTTAGATACAAAGTCATACACAAATAGAGGAGGAATAATTTCAAATTGCAAACCATACCAGCATAGAAAGAGGGAAATGAGACTGTAGATATGGATTTATTAGGTGATAGGGATTCTTTTTTTCTCTATATTTTAATATATTTTCCAAGTTTGAGCCACGGGCCAAGGATGGGCCTGTTCTCTGTCCTGCCTAAAACCTGACAGAAGCATGGGTGACCAATCCCAGAACCACACTTGGCACTGCTGAGTTTTCATATCTTCTGACACCTCCTTGCAAAATGTCAAGTGTGAGATGCTAATACTGGCCCTCTCTTTGTTGGAGGAGAAAGCATGTAAAAAGACAACTGTCCAAACCCTGTGGCTACAAAGTCCTTTTCTGGCTTCCTAAGATATTTACTCTATTCTTCTATTTCTAGAACTTTTCTAAGTTGGAAGATTTCAAATGTGAGAGAGTGTTAGATCCAGGTTGAGTAAGGATTTTATAAAATACTAAATGATGATCAGAGATGGGAATAATCAGCCTAGTTAAAAGCATATTCAGCACAATGTCACAATATACCAGATCCTTGTATAAACAGCATGGATCACATTAACAGGCCTCCCTGGGTGAGTAGCGTCTCTTTTGCCTACCTTAACGCTCACACCATGGTTATATAACCTTTTGAACAGAATTTGGAAATTCCTCTGACCCTGCCCTGCTTACTGATAGAGTTGAGCCAGTGGCTGGCAGGGGCATAATCTAATAGGCGAAACTAGAAACACACAAATTCACAGTCCTCTTGTCTCAGCCCAGAGACTGTACAGGCAAGGAAAGAAAGACTCGCCCCATCTCCCTCCTCCCCTCCTCTGGCCTAAGTTGCTGCTGACTTCACCCAACAGGCACCTGACCCTCCCAGATGAGCTGGGAGGGGCTAAAGCCCGGTGCGGCCATGGTGGGCGTGGAGGTACAGGCAGCAAACAATATTTAAGATGCTGACTTGTGGAGCATTCGGGCTTGGGAAGGAAAGCTATAGGCTATCCATTCAGCTCCCCTGTCAGAGACTCAAGCTTTGAGAAAGGCCAGCAAAGAGCAAGGAAAAGAGAGAAAACAACAAAGTGGCGAGGCCCTCAGAGTGAAAGCGTAAGGTTCAGTCAGCCTCCTGCAGCTTTGCAGACCTCAGCTGGGCATCTCCAGGCTCCCCTGGAGGAAGAGCCTTCCTCACCCAAACCCACAAAAGATGCTGAAAAAGCCTCTCTCAGCTGTGACCTGGCTCTGCATTTTCATTGTGGCCTTTGTCAGCCACCCAGCATGGCTGCAGAAGCCCTCTAAGCGCAAGACACCAGCACAGCTCAAAGCGGCCACCTGCTGTGAGGAGGTGAAGGAGCTCAAGGCCCAAGTCGCCAACCTCAGCAGCCTGCTGAGTGAACTGAACAAGAAGCAGGAAAGGGACTGGGTCAGCGTGGTCATGCAGGTGATGGAGCTGGAGAGCAACAGCAAGCGCATGGAGTCGCGGCTCACAGATGCCGAGAGCAAGTACTCTGAGATGAACAACCAAATCGACATCATGCAGCTGCAGGCGGCACAGACGGTCACTCAGACCTCCGCAGGTAAGGAGATGAGTCCCCTGCGGGAGCGTGGAGTGCCTCACCACCTACAGCACTGCTTCTACATATCCTGGTCATCAGAACCACTACTGGGGCCTCTTTTGGGGGTGTACTTTCCCTTTAGTAAAGGCTTATGCAGTATTTCCTTTGATTGCTAATGCTATGTAAGGTTACCTCACACCTTCACAGGTCTCTTTTATCCACACAATGTTTCAGCCTACCATCTAAGAGTGCTGAGACATTACATGGTTTGCCCAAAGTCACCCAGCAAGTCTTAGAAGCAGGGTTCCAGTCTTCCTGATTGGTGCAGCTCTGCTACTTCCCCACCAATAGCTGACAGGCTATATCTCAAGAAATTCCAAGGAAGCACCAAACTGTAACAGCTGTTCCTCTGGAAGCAAAGTTTTGCCAGAAACAGTTCTCTGGTATTGCCAAGATTTACCGGGCATGAGCATTGGTGGAATTCCGGGTCCTCTCTCTGTAAACGTAACTCTTCTCATTGGCTCAGAGTTAAGTGTAGAGACACGCAGCCATGTGAAGAGTCCCTTTGTGTTCAGGAAGGATATGGCTCCTTAAGGTTCCTCGATTGTGACACGTCTACTTTTTTCCATGGTCTTAAATGAATTTCTCCTAATACAGGATTTTTTAAATGCAATGCTGAAATATAGATTTTTAATAGGCCAAAAATAAGATAAATTTAATCTTTCTTTTGCAAAACAACTTTTATTTCTGGTTAACTCAGCTCAGGTAGGTCATCATGAATTTATGGTTTAGAGATTAAAAATTTGGTTTTCTGAAATTATCAGGAAAGTATTAGTTATAAGGAGCATATCCGATAGACATGTCATTTCTTGCTGATATAAAAACCATTGGTCCCATTATAAACTATATGAAGAACAAAGACATGATCAGCTTCTACTGACTAAGTCAATGGTTGCCCTCAGCTCAAATTAAGAAAAAGTTTTAACATGAAACCGAGCTTGAAAATTGTTACCTGAACCAACATGTACTAATCACTTTCTAAGCATGGACTTCCTGGCCCTCAGCTTGGGATTAGAAAGGTATTCTCAGGCCATTTTCCAGACAAGTGAGTCCTGATTTGGTCTGTGGGATGAAACCAGACATGTGGAAAACCAGGCCAGACAGAGGAATCTGACTGTGCCACTTCCTGCTCATTCAAACAGGAGGCTTTCTCGCCATCCCACGAGGAGGTTCTCGGGGTCAAGTGCAGCTCTCCCACCAGGCCTCTTGCTCTTCTTGCCCAGGACATCATTCCTTATTTTTCTTCTCTATGACCAAGTGCTCGGTTACCCGTATATTCTATAAGGAGGTAGCCCCTTAGAGGAAGCAGTAATTTGGTGCTTTCACCACTAAGGGGAAATGAAGAACAGTGATGGGGAAGGCATACGTATTCTGCCTCCCTTTCCCAAGGTGCTTTGCAAGATAACCTAAGCGCCTCGGACAACTCCCATCTGCCATCTTGGTGCTCTTCTCTAAGGTCCCAGTGCAGTGGTTACCAAGAAAAGCACCCCGAGACAGAGCGGGCAGGAAGCTTCTCTTGGATATTAAGGGCTGCACTCTCTGAATCCTATCAGAAAATGCTGTCTCTTCCACAGTGCTCTTTGGTATTTAGACTACAGAGCCTAAATCCTGCATAAAGTAGCAGCTCCATGGCCCTAGAGTAAAAAACCTGGCCTGTCTAATGCTCTCATTTCCTTGTTTTAACAAAACTTCCTGGGGGGAAGGTCTCAAAGGTTCTTCTGAGAGTTTTGAGGTTCTAGCTGGATGGAAGGGGAAAATACATAATAAACTCTATCTCCCTTAATTATGGTCTCAGGTGGCAGTAGCCACCACCTCTGAACAACAACATAACCAACCAACCAGGAAACAGCAACAAAACCAGACTCTATGAGATACTCCCGATGTGTTATAGAGACGGCTGTCTAAGAAGTCTGAATCTATCTGACAGGAGTATCTGTTACGTGGCCCTCATACACTGTAACATTTCTAGAATTCATGGCCTAGCTATAGCAGAATGATTTATTTCAGAGTTAACCTGAAACCACCTGTTGGAACGTCCCACTAATGCTATCCAAGTGAAGGGCTTCCCTAACCCTCTGCTCCACCACCAGTGAAGCCAAAATACACCCCCTCTGGATCTCCTGATATCCACCTCTCCCAAATGCAGACACTGATGGGTAATTAACACCAGTGGGAATCTCAGGGTAGAAATAAAGGCTCAGTTTCTAAACATTCAACTCAGATGGAGCCCCGGGTCTAAATGCTCACTCTGTGGTTTGTTCTCTTGTAGATGCCATCTACGACTGCTCTTCACTCTACCAGAAGAACTACCGCATCTCTGGAGTGTATAAGCTTCCTCCTGATGACTTCCTGGGCAGCCCTGAACTGGAGGTGAGGTCATTACAGTTATTGGCCACACCCTAATACCTGTCCTTCACCCCCTCAAGGGGACTGCAATAACAGGGCCATTCACAGTTTAAAGAAAGGAAAATTCGGCCAGGCAAAGTGGCTGACATTTGTAATCCCAGCACTATGGGAGGCCAAGGCGGGTGGATCACTTCAGGTCAGGAGTTTAAGACCAGCCTGGCCAACATGGTGAAACCCTGTTTCTACTAAAAATACAAAAAAATTAGCCAGGCATGGTGGCGGACGCCTGTAATCCCAGCTACGCAAGGGGATCGCTTGAACTCAGGAGGCAGAGGTTGCAGTGAGCCGAGATCACGCCACTGCACGACAGTCTGGGAGACAGAGTGAGACTCTATTTCAATTAAAGAAAAAAAAAAAAGAAAGAAAGAAACGAAAACTCAAAACACAAGCAAACACACCAAACACCAGAGAGCTATGCAAACAGTTAAGTTTATGCCCTGCACTCCAAACCCAAGCAACTGTTTGGCCCCTTGAAATCATTATCAAACACCAAGCCTTCTAACATAGATCAGATAATTCTTATAACCACCACATAACTTAGTTTAAATCTCTTGACATGTCTTAGAACAGCTATTCCTTGAGGGAGGAGAAAAGAAAACACGAAGGCAGCATCAAAAGTATCTGGATTTTCAGCCAGGCATGGTGGCTCACACCTGTAATCCCAGCACTTTGGGAGGCGAGGTGGGTGGATCAATCACCTGAGGTCAGGAGTTTGAGACCAGCCTGGCCAACATGCTGAAATCCCGTCTCTACTAAAAATATAAAAATTAGTTGGGTGTGGTGACAGGAACCTCTGGTCCCAGCTACTAGGGAGGCTGAGGCAGGAGAATCACTGGAATCCAGGAGGTGGAGGTTGCAGTGAGCCGAGATTGCACCACTGCACTCTAGCCTGGGCAACAAGAGTGAAACTCTGCCTCAAAAAAAAAAAAAAAAAGTATCTGGATTTTTCCCTTCAAGCTTCATGTGCACTCACCCCTGGGCCCAATTTGGATCGTTCTTCCAGAGCAGTGTACCACCCGCCCCAGCTCACCAGCAGTGGGGCAGCATCACTGCCTGAGTGAGCCAGTGTGACTGCGGGAATGCACGCATCTACTGGCTCTGCAGGGACAGGAACAGATTGGGAAGTCTGCCCTCTTGCTCTTGCCTCCTGTCCTGCAAGTCCCTCACCAGAGTATCCCCTCTGCTCCAGGTGTTCTGTGACATGGAGACTTCAGGTGGAGGCTGGACCATCATCCAGAGACGAAAAAGTGGCCTTGTCTCCTTCTACCAGGACTGGAAGCAGTACAAGCAGGGCTTTGGCAGCATCCGTGGGGACTTCTGGCTGGGGAATGAACACATCCACCGGCTCTCCAGACAGCCAACCCGGCTGCGTGTAGAGATGGAGGTAAGCACAAGGCCAGGGGCCCCATGACTGGACCAGTGCCACCACACCTGACTGCGTACGACTCTGAGGGTGCCATTCCTATTCTGATTCAAGACAAATCTGTATATTCATTGTGATGGTTTTCCTGCAAGTTATAATAGAGTTGAGGATAAATAGGTATTTTTCCTTTCTGCACCTCCCAACCCCCCACCCCCGCCAACAGAAGTGGGGCTGTAGGTGGGACAAGAAGAGGCCAGACCCAGGCCAGAGTAGAGCAAATCCAACAGTCAGCTGTGCCGAACACTAGTCTCTGCTCTGGCTGAGCATGAGGTCCTTTAGGTGCAAATCTTACTGATACTGGTTGGGGACCCTTGCTGAAGGTCTTAAAGCACTCACTATATCCTCACATTTCTCTTACAGCAGCTCTGTGTGGGATTCAGCAAAAACATAGCTACACCTTATAGGCAGGAAAGTGAGGAATATAGAGAGACTAATCAAGGCCATATGGTGAATCAGGAAAGAAGTTCGAGCCTTCTTTTCTGATTCCCAGGTTAACGCAGTAAACTGGAGGTAAACAAGTAATAAAGTCTTATTAGATTCACATCTATAAAAAGATGTTTGGCTACGGGGCTGTCAGGAGAGAAGGGGTATAGAGACAGCATGAAATGGAGCCTGCTGCACTTTCTTTAAGGCTCTGCTCCTCCTGACAGGACTGGGAGGGCAACCTGCGCTACGCTGAGTATAGCCACTTTGTTCTGGGCAATGAACTCAACAGCTATCGCCTCTTCCTGGGGAACTACACTGGCAATGTGGGGAACGACGCCCTCCAGTACCATAACAACACAGCCTTCAGCACCAAGGACAAGGACAATGACAACTGCTTAGACAAGTGTGCACAGCTCCGCAAAGGTGAGACTTGGGGGACCGGAAACGAGAAGTTCAGGTGCAAGCCCATAATCCCACTTGAGGAGAAAGAGTGAATTATAACTGTACAGTTGATGTTCCGGCTTTAGTATTCTTTCTAATGCTGGCTCTAACTCCTTATCTGATGTCTGGTCTATCACAGTCAACTTACTAGCACTGGGTCTGTTTCTCATGTCAGGTGGCTACTGGTACAACTGCTGCACAGACTCCAATCTCAATGGAGTGTACTACCGCCTGGGCGAGCACAACAAGCACTTGGATGGCATCACCTGGTACGGCTGGCATGGATCTACCTACTCCCTGAAACGGGTGGAGATGAAAATCCGCCCGGAAGACTTTAAGCCTTAAAAGGAGGCTGCCGTGGAGCACAGATGCAGACACTGAGACACCTGGAGATTAGATGAGGGCAGATGAGGAGAGGAAGAGAGTATTAGAAAGGGTAGGGTTGAGAAACAGCCTATACTCTCCAAAGAAAGAATAAGTCTCCAAGGAGCACAATAAAATCATATGTACCAAGGATGTTACAGTAAACAGGATGAACCATTTAAACCCACTGGGTCCTGCCACATCCTTCTCAAGGGGGTAGACTCAGTGGGGTCTCTCTGCCCAAGATCCCTGACATAGCAGTAGCTTGTCTTTTCCATATGATTTGTCTGTGAAAGAAAATAATTTTGAGATCGCTTTATCTATTTTCTTTAAGGCTTAGGCTACATGAGGGCAAAACACAAATCCCTTTGCTAAAAAGAACCATATTATTTTGATTCTCAAAGAAGAGGCCTTTGAGTGTTAGAGAAAGGAGTAAAGGAGGCAGGTGGGAGATGGGTATTTCTATTTTTAAATCCAGTGAAATTATCTTGAGTCTACATATTATTTTTAAAACACAAAAATTGTTCGGCTGTAGGTGAACTGACCCAGGCTGGACTTGCGAGGAGGAAACTCCAGGGCACTGGGTCTGGCAATCAGACTGAGCACTGCCCGTGCTCGCCTTGGTCAGGTACAGCACTGAAAGGTATGAAGTACCGGCAGGAGGTGGACACAGTCTCTCATGAATGCTGGCACAAAACTGCCTTAAAATATTCATAGTTAATACAGGTATACCTATTTTTATTTACTTTGTAAGAAACAAGCTCAAGGGGCTTCCTTTTAATTTTGTCTATAGGAAATGGCTGAAAACTGAAGGTAGATGGTGTTATAGTTAATAATGAATGCTGTATATAAGCATCTTGCTTTGTAAAAATAAAATATTGTGGTTTTGTTTTAAACATTTAACGTTTCTTTTCCTTCTACAATAAACACTTTCAAAACTTCAGTATTTTCTTTTTAAATTCTTACCATTACCACTTAGAACAGGATAAAAAGTTAAATTTAAATCAGAGGGTGAGCAGTGACAGAGGCCTGGGGTTTGTTTTGGTGTTCAGGGCAACCAAGTGGGGAGCAGAAGCCAAAAGGGAACAGGTGAGGGACAAAAGGGCAGCAGCAACCAGGACAATTTTCCATAAAGGGGATTACACATCAGGGGCTGGGCAATGAAGGCAACCAGCCTTATCAGACCCTCTATTCTACTTAGGATAGAGAAACAAAAGCAGGCCAGCAGACCTTACCCTAATGCTCGGGGCTAACCAAGTAAAAGTCGTGTGTGTGTGTTTTCTAATAATCAAATAACCACTCAATACTCTGTCCCCAAGAAAGCAAATATATTTACTGATGTGTGAGCTTTAAGGAGATGGGAGTAGTTTATACTATCTCAGTGTTAGCCCTGGTTTGGGATTACATCTGGGATTTAATTTGCCCTGTAGCAGATAGGTAAAAAAGTCAATAGGTTGCAAGACAGATTGAACTAGTAACAAGAGAACAATACTGTCAACAGAACATGGTTTTTTAAAGCAAAGACAAAAAAATAAGAAATAGCTGCACAAGGCCGGGCGCGGTGGCTCACGCCTGTAATTTCAGCACTTTGGGAGGCCAAGGTGGGTGGATCACGAGGTCAAGAGAGCGAGACCATCCTGGCCTACACGGTGAAACCCCCTTTCTACTAAAAATACAAAAATTAGCTGGGCATGCTGGCACACACCTGTAGTCTCAGCTACTTAGGAAGCTGAGGCAGGAGAACTGCTTGAATCCAGGAGGCGGAGGTTGCAGTGAGCCAAGATTGTGCCACTGCACTTCAGCCTGGCGACAGAGTGAGATTCCATCTTAAAAAAAAATAATAAAAATAAAAATAAATAAATAGCTGCACAAAGATGTTTTTGTGTAAGGCTACCCTAATTGTTTCAAAAAGAATTTAGGGAAGTTGACTCAAACATGTATACTAAAACGAACTCTAAAAAAGCAGACAAATTGGTGAAGGGAAAATAAGAGTAGCAAAAATAAAAACAATGTCTGTGGGGGTTGGGAGAGAGTTAGTAGTAGTAAAAACAGGTAAGATGTCTGTAATTTGTTGGAGGTAGACCAGGAATTTAGCTTCAAGCTCTCCAGTAGCCACTGTGAGGAAAGGAATTCAATCCCTTACTGCAAAGCGATGTCTCCAAGGCCAGATCAAAGTAGTGGCTCAGGGACATACAACCAACAGTGGGAAAAGACCCCTGAGAAGAATTTCCATGAGGCTCACCCTCAGAACCAGGGTAGTGTTGTGAGCAACTTCCTTAACAGCAACTTTGTCTAAGGTTGTTTCTTAAAACTTCCTTCAGTACAGACGACAGTATACCCACAACCGGGCTTAGGAAAAGCAGCTTTACAAAATCAGAAGTAAAAACTGCAAACGGAAGCAAAAAAAGAAAGGTGATAGGAAGATACAGGAGACCAGCAGAAGGGAGGCAGAAATGCAAGCTGAGTTGACTTGGCTGAGGACACCCAAAGAGCCAAGCACACTGGCTTTCCCCAGAAACAGCATTCATTCATTCATTCATTCATTCATTCATTTATTGAGACAGAATCTCGCTCTGTCATCCAGGCTAGAGTACAGTGGCATGATCTTGGCTCACTGCAACCTCCACCTCCTGGGTTCAAGCAATTCTCCTGCCTCAGCCTCCCAAGTAGCTGGGATTATAGATGTGCACCACCACGCCCAACTAATTTTTGTATTTTTAGTAGAGATGGGGTTTCACCATGTTAGCCAGGCTGGTCTCGAACTCCTGACATCAAGTGATCCACCCACCTTGGCCTCCCAAAGTGCTGGGATTACAGGTGTGAGCTACCCCACCTGGCCTGGAACAGTGTTTTAAACAAAGGACAAGATCAATCTCCAGGGAATTCTGAGGACTTATTTTCAATTATATTTGCTTACAAAGCTAAATAACCTTCTAGAGCACTTTTCCAGGCCTCTAACTACATCTTTCTGCTACAAATCTGCATAACTTTAAGTTTTTATGATTGTCTCAAATATGGGGAAAAATTAAGGGTGGAATTAGGAAAGTTTCAAATAGGTCTCAAACAGGTGAGCAAGGAAATCAATATGCAAAATGAGTTATCTGACCTTAAAGTGATCGTACTTAGTTACTATATTTTCTATTAGTGTGAGAGCACATTACCTAAGCCAGAGATGGAAGGAAGAAATGTGGATTTTCACATTTACTGTGTCTGATTTGAAACTGAAGCATGCCTCAGAGGACGGAATGTTTTTAATTGTTCCTACATGGTATTTCAGAAATCAACATTTTCTCCAAGTCCAATTTATTTGGGCAAAAACAGGATTCTATTTCTATCTTTTTGCTAACTTTTTAAAGTGTTAAAGGAACTCTTTTAAATATCTTCTCAAAAGCACAGCTAGGAAAGGACTTGGCTGTTTGATCACCCTCTCAAGCAAAGTAGACACCACACACAGCAGGCTCTATTAGCCACGGTGAAGGAACTTATTAGCTGGATGATTTTTTCTGAACTATCTGCAGTGAGATGAAAGATCATGTTAGCATTCACATGAAGATAATGAGATCCCAGAGTTGATATTCTCTGATAATCATTAGGGGAAGTGAATGATGCTTTAGGAGCCGGAGCTAATGTTTCGTGCTGCTTGTAATTTCCTAACAGCAGAAAATTTATTAAACAACCTATTTTTTCCACACCCAGAAGACTGAAAACTGTCTTAACAGAGGAGCGAACATAACCACATCAGAGAAAAGACCATTAGATTTCAGATTATGCTCTGCCTTTTATATTCACAAAACACCATAGGAGGAAGACGCAGGCATCAATAGATTTAGTTGATAAAACCCCACTCTGCCCTTGGGTACCCTCTGAAGTCCAGGAACCAGCACATTCTATTCTAGCTCTAGACAGCACTATCTAACCCAGACGCAAAACCTATCTTCCTAGGCTGCCATGGCCACAGAATTGCTTTTCAACTAATTTCATTGGAACAAGAAAGGACAGGTTGGAAAACAACAGGAGCCCAGGTGATAAGGGTCAACAGAAATGACAATCATGGCTAGATTCCTGGGGAGAGCCATCTGCAACATGTCATTTAAACGTGCTGGCCAGACCCAGAGGCAGATTTCACAGAGCAGAAGTCTCCAAGTGACTCCAGTGAAGTGGCACCAGGTAGTGGGAGAAGAGAGGTCATTTTGCATGAAGGCAGCAGCAAATTAAAAAGGGTTTATAGCCTACCTGATGAGAGATTCTAGAATGGCAGGGGTGGGGCCTTTCTGGAACTCCAGTTCTTTGTAGTGTAGTGCTTTGGCATATGCTCGGCACTTGGCAGCTCTTTCACCCAGCAGAACAATGCCATTGTCATCTCTCAGTGGCAGGGGGCCCTGGAGGAGAGCAAAACCTCACAGCATAGGAAAATGGCAGATGGGGCACAAACAAGAGAAGGCTGTGTGGATGCTTCTCTCCTCCCACCAGCTGGTTCCCTGTCAGCCTCCATCTGGACAATGGGGAAAAGTCTCACCTTGTCACTGTGTTCCATGAATTCAGCCAAGTTTAAGAGGGTTTGTGTGACTTCAGCGATGTCTTGTGAGGTGAGGGCCAACTCGATGCTTCTGATGAGCTCATCCTGTTGATCTTCATTCAATTCAGACCAGCAGGACACAAACGCAGCATTGAAGAGATCCCTGAAGGCACAGAAGGTGGAAAATAGAGAGACCTCCCATGCCTCTGCCTGCTGCCTCAAAGTCACACCTATCAGTTCACTTTTGGCATCACTGATTTTGGTTATACAGACCAGTGCTGTCCAAGAGAACTTTCATGTCCAATATGGTAGCCACTGATGATTAAAGCACTTGAACTATGGCAAGTGTGGCCAAGGAACTGAATTTTACATTTTATTTATTTTTAATTAAATTAACCACATATGGCTAGTGTCTACTGAATCTTACACTGCAGGTACAGACACTATGATATGCAGGGACTTGGGGGGCAAGTGGCAGGGCGGGGTGAAGAGCAGAGCAAAGTAACTTTTCTCCAAAGGAATATTTCTTGGCAGTTTTTGCATCATTTCTCTTCACTAGAGGAAATGGGAAATGAATAGAATGGGGGCTTCTGACAAAGAAGTTGGCATTAACAAATGTGGAAAACAATAATCGTTAAATGATTCTTGGGATGTTTCTGGGACAATGTCTAAATTCTTGAGGTCAGAAATGTCAAAGGCAGCATCCGCAATTGCTTTCAAAATATAATCAGAACCCTTAGTTGGATGGTCATAAAAAATGACAACAGGACTAGAAGCATTAGCAAATAGGATCCAAACCTGTAAGTTCTAAAAGATTTTCTAAGCCAACAGTTGGGGCCTTACAAAGACGTGGAACCAGAGGTTCCATTTCAAAGATTACTATGACTACTTACATTACCATAGTACCACATGATGGACACATTTGCCATCCCTTACATCTTACATCAATCCTATCCTCCCCACTGTTCTGGTGACTGTGTGGGGAAGGGAGTGGGAAACAACACGATATACCTACAATGGATAGATTTAGCAACGGACAGATTTAGCATTTAAACAACACGATATACCTACAATGGATAGATTTGATGCCTCTATACCTACTTTCTTTTCTTTTTTTTTTGAGACGGAGTCTTGCTGTGTTGCCCAGGCTGGAGTGCGGTGGCGCGATCTCAGCTCACTGCAAGCTCCGCCTCCTGGGTTCCATTCTCCTGCCTCAGTCTCCCCAGCACCTGGGACTACAGGCGCCCGCCACCACGCCTGGCTAATATTTTTGTATTTTTAGTACAGACAGGGTTTCACCGTGTTAGCCAGGATGGTCTCAATCTCCTGACCTTGTGATCCACCCACCTGGGCCTCCCAAAGTGTTGGGATTACAGGCGTGAGCCACTGCGCCCAGCCTATACCTATTTTCTGTTACATATT